TGTTTGTGTCCCTGGGCTGATGGGATTCTGGTTGCTCAAGGAACATTAGAGAAATTGTAACTAACATAGGAAATTAGAAACCATTTAATACCTCTTGAAATCTCTGAAAAACAGGGATTGTGATTCCAGAAAGCAGAGATGCAAATTGCTTGCAAATTCAGTTTGCCAGATAAATAGGCCTCATAGTTTAGAGGGGCTGGCTGTGTTTACTGTTAGAGTAGAGGCCTTAGGACTTAAAAGTCCATATGCAATGCTTAAAAATGATAAAAAATAGTAACTTTTATGTTATGCATATATTACCACGGTTTTTTTTAAGTCCGTAAAATAATATTACAGGGCCCAGAATCTGCCAGATAAAACTCACTTTATTTTCTCTCCTTAAAATACTGCCCTGCCTTAAAAAAAAAAAAAAAAAAAAAAAAACAGTATATATATATATATATATATTAAGAATATGGTTCTAATTTCTGAATCCGGATTGTTTATTGAGATCTCATAAAGTTAGCTATTTTGTGCAGTGTGGTTTGAAACAAGCTTGATTTTAAGTGAGATATCTTAAATAGGGTACATAATTAGTTTCTAAGGCAGGCCAGTTGACTGTTACCTGAGTCAGCAGGATTGGTTTAGTATAAGAGATGTGTAGCAAGTTTCCGATGTCTTAAGTCATATTGCCTTCCTGTTTTTCTTTGCTAAACCTCAGAAAATGGCCAGGCTCCCATATTCCCACATTTTCTCAATAGGGCCCAGCCTCCTATTGAGCCAGCAGGTCAGATGGGTGCCCTCCGGGGGTGTGTGTGCATGCACTTTGCAGCATGCATGTGTGTGTGTGTGTGTGTGTTTCCTCTTGCATGGGTGTGGTGTATTTTGGGGGTGAGGGGAGTAAGGGGAGCTTATTCACTTAGGAGGACTTGAATTCTGCTCATTTCACACTGATCCTTCCTGAGCTTGGGCCATCAACTGAGGCCTAAATTTTTGGTCTAGACCAGGATCCAAGACTGATGATACAGGAATGGCAACAAGGGGCCTCTTATGTGCACTACCCGGTCTGTGAGAGGAATTCTTTACACTGCTGTGTGTGGTAAAATAATCCCAAAATTATTCTCCTTCTCTGCCTAGAACTGGGGAAGCTACTGAACAGTTTCCATCTACCTGAACATATTTTAATTTGCACTTGCCATGAGTGTGAAGGGAAACCTGGTACTTGGGTAGGAGCGAAGGTTAAGACTGCCTTGGAGAAGTGCCCAGGAAGACAGCCCTGTAGCAGAACGCTCTGCAGGGAGAGTAAGCACATCTGTCCAATGAGTGCAGGGAGATCTCCCTTCTAGCAACACTGTTTCTCAGCCTCCACTGGGGCGCTTATAGCTGTGAGGGCCTCTACCCAACACAGTCTGATGTTGGACACCATTTTATAACATAATCAGTATTGAGCAGAATCTGCTTTTTTGATGTGTTCTATCAGCTAGTCCAACTGTGACCTCTGTCACACCCCCACATGAGACATACGGTGGGTTTTATAAAAATGTATCCAACATGTGCACTCCCCTCCCCACATTCAGAGAATCGTGACTGTAGCCAGAGCTGCTGCAGGACATTTGACCAAGAAGTGGTATTGTTTTAGTCTTTACTTAGCAAATTATCAAAGTAATATTAATGGTGGTTATTGGAGCGAGTGCTTCCAGTGTGCCAGGCCCCACGCATAGTGTTTTATGTATGTTATCTCATTTAAACTTCCAACAGCCAGGGGCGCCTGGGTGGCTCAATTGGTTTAAGCATCTAACTCTTAATCTCTGCTCTGGTCTTAATGTCAGGGTCATGAATTCATGCCGATGCTGGGCATGGAGCCTACTTAAAATAACAATAATAAATAAAAATAAATAAATAAACTTCCAACAACCCTATTGCAGTTCATCTTATTATCTTAGGAGAAACCATGGCCTAGAGAGCTTTAAGTACTTTGCTCAGAATCACCTAGTTAGTAAATTTGTGGACCTAGGATTTAAACTCAGGCATACCCACCCCAGATCCATCCCCTAGAATCAAAGCAAGACAAAAATGTCCAAAAAAAAAGAAAGAAAGAAATGTAGTTGATTGCTTTTGTATCCTTCAGGGATATCCATTTGAAAGCTCCCTGTTGCTCAGAAATTCCTTTCATAGGATATTTGAGAATGGATGAAGGAGAAATGCTCACAGCTTTATTGGGGGTTCAGAGAAGAAGTCCAGAGTGCCTGGTGTGGGTGGGGAGATGAGAAGGTAGTTCTACAAGTCAGTAAGCTCTGTCACATGCCCTTAGCACAGCCAGGTCATCATTCTCTTGTTCCCGTGCGGGCTTGAGCTGCAGCCCTTTTCAGGAGAAAATCCAAATCATGGTTTTGTTCTTTAATCTTTGAAAATAAATGTTGGGAAGTAAATTAGGCTATGGTATAGCCCAGTAGGTTTTTTTTTTTTTTTTAATTATTTATTTATGATAGTCACACAGAGAGAGAGAGAGGCAGAGACAAGGCAGAGACATAGGCAGAGGGAGAAGCAGGCTCCATGCACCGGGAGCCCGACGTGGGATTCGATCCCGGGTCTCCAGGATCGCGCCCTGGGCCAAAGGCAGGCACCAAACCGCTGCGCCACCCAGGGATCCCCCCCAGTAGGTTTTTTAACTTTTATACTGAGTTATAATCACATACAGTAAGATGCAGTCTCAATCAGTTCAGGCTACTATAACAGGAATATCATAGATTGGGTAGCTTAAACAACATTTATATATTGCCTAGAGGCTGGGAAGTCTGAACCCATGGTGTTGGCAGATCAAGCATCTGGCATGGACCCATTTGATGTTCTGCAGAGAACCTTCTCGCTGTATCCCAAATGGTAGAGGAAAAAAAGAACAAGTCTTCGTTTGTCTTCTTACAAGGGCACTAATCCCATTCATGAGGATTCCATCATCATGACTTTAATTACCTCCCAAAGGTCCCACTCTTAATACCATCACAACAGGGGTTAGGATTTCAACAAATGAATTTTGAGAGTACAGAATAGGGCTTTGATAACAGGACCAGAGCTAAAATGCACTCACTTAGGAGAATGTGAGCATCTCCCTCACCTCACCCTGTCCCAGCCCTGTTTGATAGGTGGACTATTCCAGAGACACTAAAACAGTTCACTTTCATATACAGAAAATTATATGGCCCAGCCTGGTTTCATGATTGGCTAAATCAAACTCAACAATCCATACGTATACTTCCATGATTTCTTGAACATTGACTTCGGCAAACATCATGTTTTCAATCTTACGTATTTCCTGCCCGACATAAGCCTTTCCTGCCTCATAACATTTAGAAATCTCTAGTAACTGCATAAAGACATCCCTCCCTTAGGTCAAGTAGAATTTACTGTGACAGCCCATCAGTGTTGAGTGCAGAGTACTGCTCCTCACATTCCAAGCCTTACCATATGTAGGCATTACCTTACCAAATGAGCTAATATTCAACCTGCTGGATGCAGGGGTATTCTGACTCCTCACAAATTCTTATTAGTGGGTCCTCTAATTTTGTTCTTCATGTATCCGTGTTATTAGAGAGTACTATAAATGTGATGCTTTTTTCGTAAAGTTTAGAATTCATATATAGTAGAACATACTTACTGCAAAGCCTAGACTGAACATAATTAAGTCTTCCTTCAATGGCTCCAAAGGGAGTTGAGAACCTTACAGTCCTCCAAAAGCATCATTACAGTTCCTATTTAATAGAATTTCTAATTAGCCAACTAATAGAAAATTTCAGCTAATAAAATATCAGCTGTGGTCTTTACATATTTGCATGTTCCATGTAGAAGACTTTTACAATTCCAGATAGGATACTATAGTCAGAACTAAGTTTTGAAGTGACACCTTATCTAAAAAACTGGATATGGTTTCTAATAGAATTCAGCCTCCGAAGTTCACCATTACATATAGAGGGGAAGAACGTGGGCTTTGGAATCAGACCTCTCTGGATTCAGGTCAGGGCTCAGTTACCTAAGGACTGTGTGACCTTGAGCAAGCTACTTAACACCCTGAACCTCAGTCCCCTCATCTGCGAAATGGGGCCAGGAATTGTCTGTATGCATGTGTTTGTTGTGAGGATTGAACGAGTACACACATGGAGGGCTTCACAAAGCCTGGCATGAGGTCTTCCATAAATAGCAGCATTTCAAAAATGAAGTCAACCATAACTTTACCGTCTCACTGACTGAGTGAGACCAAATTGGGGCCCTATATTTTAGTCACATATTCCCAGACAGAAAAATATCTTAAGCAAATTCCACGAAATCAGTGAAGGTGTCTCATGGAGTCTAGAGGACAATGGTGGTGGCCCCCAAAGAGCAGCCAAATGGAGCAACTGCTCTTGTCTGTTTCACATAGCAGCTTCCATGACCCCTTTTGTTTGGACTGCTACTTGAAAGGTTATGAAACCCCTGATTTAATCCAACACCCTCATTTCACAGATGAAGAAACTGAGGCTCAGAAGAGCATTGGTGATTCGCATGCACTCAGCACAGGTCTCCTGACTCCCAGGCCTGTGCGTTCTTGGGACCCTGCCCTGTAATAAATGGAGACAAGGAACAGTAGGAGACAGTATTAAGTCAGCTACTGAGTTCCCACATGGTTCTTCCAGCCAGTTTCTAGTAACAAAGATGTCTCTAGAAAAAACAGAATCATCTGTTTTACCACCACCCCATGCCTCAATTTGTCAAAGTCCTGTTTTGTGGGTGGCAGGAGTGCCTGTAAAAAAGATACTTGCCTGGAAGCTCTTTCTCCTCTTCTGCTGGGGAACTGCTGTTCATGGAGTGGCTTTCGCGCCATCCTGCGGTCACTGGCCACACCTCTCTCAGTGACCGTCTTCTTGCAAACATATTCACAGGGGTTCCCAGTGAGAGATTGCAGATATCAGGCTTTCGTCCCCCCACCAGGACTCATGCCGGCACCCACTTACCTCCCTGTCTCTTATTTTGCCACAACCTCTGTTTTCCAGCCTCTCAACATTGCCTACAGCCACATCTACAGCTCCTATAGGAACTTTGTGGGGCCCCCCCACTTCAAGACCATCTGCAGACTCCTGGGTTACCAGGGCATCGCAGTGGTCATGGAGGAACTGCTGAAGATTGTCAAGAGCTTGGTAAGGAAGGGCCTCAGTGAGGCCTGGGTCATGCCTTGAGCTCTGTGCAGAGGAATCACCCTAGAAATCCTGGGCCCTTATGCCTGGGTTCCTCCTACCTAAAGCTCTGTAACATTTCTGTGTACTTCTGATCTTGGGGCTTTGCCTCTCACTTTTTTACCTTTAGGGCCTACTAATTACTGCTCATACTCTCCTCCTGTGCAGGGTTTTCTAATTAGAGCATCACAAATCCATGACATATGTGCCACCATTTCCCTACCCTGTGCTCACGGCAGACATCTCTAATCAATCACCATGCTTCTTCCCTTGGGGTTTACTGCTCAACACTTGCAAATACTGCGCTGGCCTCAAGAGAATTCTATATCCATCCCAAGTATGATCATCTGAACCTTTATTTAGTTCTCCATGACACTGCTGAAGCAAAGCTGAAACATTTAAACCAGATTTTCCTGAAATGTGGAGTTGACAAAAAAGAAGTAAACGAAATAATGAATAACCTTGCCAGAAATAGGAAACAGCATTCACCTGCTAACTCCAGGCCTCTGAAGTAATGTAATGGATTATGGGTGTCTGCCTCGGACACAGGAGGGATAAATGTGCTATGTATTTTCTGTGTTTAAATTTGGCTAATGTGTCTCAGTCTCCACAGCCCCTTGGCCCATGACATTTCAGCCCTGGATCTTCTGGAAGCAGTCAGCCCCTGGAAAGACCCCATGCCTAGAAATTGCCCTTTTGAAAGTCTGTACAGCCTGGAGTGCTACTGAGACAGCTCCCTTTCTGTCTCATAAAGGCCCATTTTTCTGTATATGTATTTTTCTGAGAATGGGGCCGTGCACCACCTTTAGGAGGGGACCTACTCTCTCCTCCCAAGGAACAGTGCTTCACTGTCTCATGCAGCTCAGGCTGCTCTAACAAAATACCACATACTGGGTGGCTTCGCAACAAATGTTGATTTTTTCATAGTCCTGGAAGCTGACAGTCCAAGATCACAGTGCCAGCATGGAGTGGATGAGGGGTACAGATGCCTGCCTTCTCCCTGTGTCCTCACCTCTCTTGTCTCTTCTTGCAAGGGCAGGAATCCCATCAGGAGGCTCTATTCTCATGATGTAATTACCTCCCAGAGGCCCCATCTCCACACCAGCACATTGTGGGGTGGGGTTTCAGTATATGAATTGGGAGGGGGCACAAACATTCAGTCTATGACACTTGCCCACAGGCCGCAGCAGAACCCTGTGTACCTCAGTAGCCCATTATTTAGTCCAGAGATGTACATATATAGCAACGGTGGATCGTTCAATCATGCTGCTCTTTTCTTTTGTCAGCTCCAAGGAACCATTCTCCAGTACGTGAAAACACTGATCGAGGTGATGCCCAAGATATGCCGCTTACCCCGACATGAATATGGCTCTCCAGGTGGGCAATGGGGCCCAGGAGGCAGAGGGTGGTGATAAGAAGATAATCTAGGCCCATCCCATGGTGGGCGGCAGGGCCCCACCATCTCCCCAGGAATGTTGGCTTCCCTAACATGCCAACAAGCTGGCCCAGCACTGGGTCTGTGTCCTACCTCCACTGCTAGCTAGGTAGCCTTGACCCATTTTTAATCCCTCTGGGCAATAGTACCATTTTGCCCAGGGAAGGTAAAGGATGCATGTTGGAATGCCTCACAGGCCTACTGGGGAGCTAGGGAAGATAGCAGTTGTGAGAGCATTTGTGAGGTTGCTTGTAAATGTCTTTTCTAACTTAGCACCTCTAGGATCCCTTCCTCCCTCTGCCCATTTGTGGTAGGCGGTAGTATAAGGCGTTGCAGGTGGTGGTATAAGTGACATTTCCAAGGTGAGTCAGGAAACAGGAGTTTTTGCCACTCTGCCTCTGGGCAGAGAAATCATTCTTTCCTTCCCTAAGAATGAATGGCTCAGAGACTGAATCTGGGGACTGAAGAATGGGAAAAGATGGGGGCTATGAGTTTGGAACCTGGTGTTTTTTCCTAAAAATCAAGCTGTCAGGTGTTGAGTATGTGTGATTCAGAAGAAAAGGGGCTTGCACTCAAAAGCTCTGGTTTTCAATCCCAGCTGCCCACTTTCCAGCTGTGTGACTGTGGGCATGCCACTTACCCTCTCTGAGCCTTATATGAAAATAAGAGTAATAGTGCCCAGTTCATGATATTGTTATGAGTATTTTTTTTAATTTTTATTTATTTTATGATAGTCACACAGAGAGAGAGAAAGAGGCAGAGACATAGGCAGAGGGAGAAGCAGGCTCCATGCACCGGGAGCCCAACGTGGGATTCGATCCGGGGTCTCCAGGATCGCGCCCTGGGCCAAAGGCAGGCGCCAAACCGCTGCGCCACCCAGGGATCCCCGATTGTTATGAGTATTAAGTGAAAAGCTGTAGAAAAGTGCTTAGCACAATGCCTAATGCTTATAAATGTTCATTCCTGGCATTATCAAGAATTCAGACAACTTTTTGGAGGGACTAGGAGAGATCCAGGGATACTGTATTTGTATACGTTTGTTTTATTCCAAAAAAGGATTTGGCCAGCCTCCTGAGCTTTCTGTAGTACTGAGCCCTGAAAGAACTCTCACCCCTGGCCCACATAGAGAGAGATGTGGGCTTGGTTTTTCACTCTCCCGCTCAGATCTGGGACTGTTGCTCAGTCAGTAGTTCCCATAATCCTGGCTGAGCAGGGTCAGTTTCCCCACTAACTCTGCCTTCATCCCCCAGGAATCCTGGAGTTCTTTCACCACCAGCTGAAGGACATCATTGAGTATGCAGAGCTCAAGACAGACGTGTTCCAGAGCCTGAGGGAGGTGGGCAATGCCATCCTGTTTTGCCTGCTCATAGAGCAAGCTCTGGTGAGTCGTGAGCCCAAAGCAATTGGAGCATCTCCAGGCTGGAAGGGACCCCTGCCCCAGCCAGATACTTGAGGCCCTTCTACTGCATCCTGCCCAGAGGCCCTGCAGCATAGACTCATGCTCTTCCAGCACTGGGTACGCACTGCATCTCCATTCTGCCTTCAACAGCTCCGACCATTTGAACCCTGGAAGGAACACAGGCATTCTCTCTAAAGCCAGGACCTGGGTTCCTGTCCCAGCCCCACCTTTACTAGCTGCAGGATCTTGGCCACCCATCGAAGCTTAGTATTCCATCCACTCATTAAACAATAACTGCTTGCCGCCACAGGCCAGGCACTGCACTGGGGGACATAGCCGTGGCCAGTCCCGGCCTCAGGTCCTGGACAGTAAGTAGCAGGGAGATTTATATTGAATAAGTATTTACACAGAAATGCTGTGTTTACGTTACAGCAAGTGCTATAAGGGGGGCGTGCATGGTTTCGTGGGAACATTAAACAGTACCTAGTGTGGTGCTGGGGGAGAGGGAGGACTTCCCTGAGGACGTGACCGGGAGAATGACCAGGGATTGATCTGGTGAAGAACCAGGAGTGACAGTCCACGGTGAGGGAAGAGCATACAGTGCTCTCTTCATTTATTATGAAGCAGCCATTCTAACCCACAGGGTAGTTTAGAGGCTGAAAGGAGGCAAAGCTTGGAAAGCACATACAGTAAAAAACTAAATAACTGGTCATGGTTATCATGATGGGCAGAGGCTTGCCTCGCCATACTCCCACCTCCCAGGCCCACACAGACCCAGCGCACCCTTTAGCTGCCCCACTGCTCATCTGGCCTCACCTCCCTCCTGCCTGAGTCCCAGAGGCTGCCTTCCCCTCGTTCTCCCCAATGCTCTCTGCTGCCTTTTCCCCTCCATGTGGGGGTTCCACAGCCCTCCAGCCATGGGTTAACTGTGCAGGGGAGCAGGGGAACACTAGAAGGATAGGGAGAGGCATAATCCTCAGGAGGCAGTGGGAAGATCTTTCAGCATCCATGAACTCATCCAGCACAAGGGGATTGAGCACCCGCCTGTTGACTACTGCAGCTTTAGGTTATGGGTGAATGGCCTCGGGTAAGGGAGACAAATTATTACCATTCTTACTCCAGAGAGGCAGATGACTGGAGAAGTAAACAAGCAAAGACTGGGCATACTGAGGGCAGTACATGCTGTAAATGAATAAAAAGGAAAATAGGATAGAGTGATGAGTGTCGGGAGGGACAAGCTGATTTTGGGGATAGTGGAACTGGGTATCTTTAAGAAAGGGAAAGAATGGGACACCTGGGTGGCTCAGTGGTTGAGCGTCTGCCTTTGGCTCAGGGTGTGATCCCGAGGTTCTGGGATTGAGTCCCACATCGGGCTCCCTGCATGGAGCCTGCTTCTCCCTCTGCCTGTGTCTCTGCCTCTCTCTCTGTGTCTCTCATGAATGAATAAAATCTTTAAAAAATAAACAAGGGGAAAGAACCCTGGAATGAACTGGAGCAGAGAGGCAAAGGGAACAAGCTAGTAGCTGAGGAGGGAGCAGCAGGTAGCTGTGGTCCTGGGCAGGTAGCCCCATCCTGGGCAGGTAGCCAGGGTCCTAGGTGGGTAGCCGCAGTCCTGGGCAGGTTAGCCGCATGCTGGACAGGTAGCCTTTGGAGTTTCCTGAGGTGGAGAGTGAAGGGGTTGGATTTGACTTCTGTGAAAGGCCCTTTCAGCCTTGGGAGAGGCACCAACCCTAAGCAGACTGAGGCTGTGTGCAGCTGCACAGGCCAGGGGTCATCCTGGAGGCAGGAGGCACATGGAGAGGGGAGGAGGTGAAGCAAGAGGAGATGCTCAGAATAAGAACCCCAGAGAGTCCTGCTTCTCGTTGTCCGTATGAGTGAGCAGGTTCACTGCCTGCCCACGGTCCCCACCTCTACAAGGGGCATGTCCCATCTGCTCTCTCGGACCCTGCCCCCACGGAAAGACTCAGAAATGCACACAGTTTCGCTTTCCCTCCATAAGGAGTAATTGCCTCTCTGTTCCCCTTTAAATAGACTCTCGAGACAGCTAAGTGTTCCTCTTTATGGTAACAGGTTTTGAACATGGTTCAGTGGCCTGAGTTGCCATGGCAACTTAGCCTTCCGAAGTCACAGGAACAAGATGGGTAGGAAACACTGCTCTGTTCAAGGCTGCAGGATACGAGGAGAGGCTCCAGGGGCACCGGAACGAGTGGAGGTGGGGGAGGGTTGGCCCCAGAAATTTTGGTGCCTGCATGTCTCCTGTGAGCACCTTCTTTCATAAGGAGCTGTGACCCGAGAGCTGAGAGCACCAGTTAAGCTTCTCCTGCACAAACCCCAAGAAGTGGACTATTTATTGAGGGGGCTACAAGGAAAGGAAAATTTTTTTCCCAGGCACACCTGCCAGGGTGGTCACTTGCATATATCAATGAAGACAAGAGGATGCTCAGGACCAAAGACCTTCAGCGCTGACAGAGGCCTTAATGGTTTATGTTCCGCTCCCTCTATTCACACATGAGGAAACAGGAACCAGAGAGGGTCCTCTCGGGAGGACTCAGCCCATCAACAGCAAAGGTGGAAGAAGGAGAGCAGGGGTTCTCAGCACTGATTCCAGTCCCGGCAGAGGCCAACATAGCGAGGAGCAGGGCTCCACAAAGCTGTGCACCATGGTTTCAGTTGACAACTGGGGAGATCCACAAGCCAAGACGATGCTTTTTGAGTTAGAATGAGGCATGACATCTAGACCATTCTAATTAAAGAGGGGTACTAATAGCAAAAAAAGAAAGGAAGGGAAGAAGGAAGGAATGAATGGAGGGGCTTTAATGGCCATCCACAGAGGAAGGACTATTTAAACAGTGCTACATCTGTTCTTATGGAGGACTCTGAAGCAGTGAGAAAGGACAAGATGCTCAAGTAGCTTTGTATATACCCACATAGAAAATGTTGAAAGATTACTAAGTGAAAAAAGAACAAATTGCAGGACAAAACACATTATGATGCCATATGTATAAAATAAACTAAAAATAAAACCACAAAAATAACACTGTATTGAAAACAAAGATCTAGGGGGAAAAAAAGGATACCAAGGATACCAGATAGTTCATTTTCTCTAGGTATTGGAGAAGAAACTAGAATCGGGGGTCGACAGTAGCTTTCATTTTATCTGGAATGTCTAATATTTTGCAGGGAAAGTATTTTCATGCATTATGTTTGAACTGAAAATTAATTCAAAAAATAGTGGGACATAATAATTACAGGTTAATAATAACAGAAAAACTGGAAAGTACAAATAAGAAGTCTTCTGCCCATTTATCTCGTGTTGTCTTTCTCTAATAGATTTGCAGAGTCCCTCGTTGTAGGTTCCGTATTGCAATTTTTGCTACAAATACCTATCCTTCTGTGACTTGCCTTTTTGTTTTAAAACTGAGATTATTAATAGATCATTAATTTGTAGGTAGAGGGAATATAAATTGAAAAGATTGATTACCTTTTCAAAGGTATTTTTTTTAATTCTCTTTAGGTTAGGTGCTTGCAAATACTTCTCAAAATTCAAGGTGCGTGTTAGTATAGGAACCTCTATATCTGTCAATCAGGTTGTTTGCTTGGTGTTTTTAATTAAGGTCTAACATAAATAGAGTAATACATGGAATATGCAGTATCGCCACTGTATGGAATAATTGAATCATTCATGTTACTGTGGGTGGGTGTTTACAGAGTGATGCTATTATGAATGAAGATGCCATGAATGTTCTTATACATTTCTTTTGGTGGATCTATGCTCTCATTTTTATTAGATTTACTTACCGTGTGGTAAAATGGCTCTCAATGTGTGGATAGATAATACCGAACAGTTTTACAAAGTGATTGTGCCAATTTGTTCACTCATTCAGCAGTGTAGAAGAGTCTTCATTTCTTCACATCCTCACGAACACTGTCTTTGTCTGTCTTTTCCTCATAGCCATTCTGGTGGATGCGTCATGATATCTCGTTATCGTTTTGATTTCCATGATGACCACGGATGCTGGGCCCCTTTCCAGACGGCACTGCCATTTGGACAGCCTCTTTTGTGAAAGGCTGTTCGATATTTTTGCCTGTTTTAAAATCAGGTCATCTTTTCCTTATTTATCCATACATATTATTGATATAATGTGGATACATGAATCATCAGTATATTTCTGTGGTGTGTGTTTTGATAAACAGAAGTTCTTGAGACTTGATGTATTTATCATTCTTTCCCTGTCTGTGGTTGGTGCTTTTGTAGCTTGTTTAAAAAAATAACTTTTTTTAAAAAAATAACTTTCCTATCTAAAGTCATGAAGATGTGTTCTCTTCTAAGTGTTTTACAGTTTAGCATTTTGAGGCTTAACAGACCTTTAAGTCTGTTCTCCACTTGGAATTGCTGTGTGTATCTAGTGGGAGGTAGAAATCCAGTTTCCTTTCTTCCCTGGTTGTCCCAGGGAAGAGACCTTCTTCTCCCCACTCTGCGGTGGTGGGGCCGTGTGCGTCACTGATCAAGCGTGCACACAAAGGGTCTAGCCGTGGTAGCCTCTTAAATATTTGTTGAGTCTAGTCTGAAATGAATCAGCATTTGTCAGGTATCTATTTATAAGTTCTGTTATGTTTTTTAAAGGAAATTCTCTTATTAACAACTAGTATTTCCTCTAGCATCTCCTACCCTGAGAAATCATAAGATGGTCATCAGGGAAATATTCCACAGTCGCCAAGTTTTTGCTCAAATTTTGCATAGTTTTGGAACCATCAGCCCATTGTTCGTTATGCCGACACACACCAGAAGAGGGCCCTGTTTGTTCACATGAGCGAGCAAGGGCCCATCCCTGGGAGGAAGACAGCTTGTCTGTCTGCGTGTCTGCCTTTTATGGCAGGACCTTCCATCCAGGACTTTAGAGTGTTCCCTGCCCTGGGCCCTGATGTTTATTTCTCCTGTCCTCCTTAGAGTTGGATGGGCCACAGTCAGAGTCTGGGCAGCC